GCCAAAATAAGAACCCTTAGATTTTATGGTATTCAAGTTTGCGTTGAACTGTGAGTTATATGCAGCTTTTTGTTAAGTGTTTTGGAGAATATATTAATGACTTGGTTCTCTGAGCCATTTAAAAAGAAAACAAGAAACAAAGTATGATGTTTTATTAACTTTTATTCAATTAATATAACAATATGTAAAGCGCTATATTAGCAATTCTATAAATTGAAAAGATGGAATTTTAATTCTCTGTGGGTGTTTACTGGACCAGTTTCAGAGAAGTTTACAATCTAACATCTGAGAGATGAACATATACTCATGACTCAAGATGGCCAGATCAATTCCATTGGGGTGAATAAAATAAGGCACTGTGGAGTAAGTAGAATCTAAACTGAGACTGTAGAATGGGCTCAGTTTGTCAAACAAAGATATTAGTGTTAAGTTTTCTGTGTGGAAAAGGCTACTTTAAAAATATATATACCAGCAAGTATGGAGCATAATCTAGAAAAGCACGAGTTAGGAGCTGGCAGATGAACAAGCGAAGGGAAGAGTGCTTGAAAAGTATTGTGTTTTGATTGGGCTCTGTCTTGGGAGTTGCAAAACAGAAAATGGAGATTAAAGATATTATTTTGATGAAAGGCAACATCATAGGAATGATGAACTACTTTATAAGTTCTCCAAGAAAAGTTGGGTCAACCCAGATCAGCTAAGTTGGAAAGCATTCTCAAATGACTCATAAAATACTATATATGAAGCCCTCAATTACTATCCCAAAAGGGACCTGGTTACTAATGTAAATTAATACCAGGAAATATCAACCAATCACCACCAATCAATAAGTCACAATCACTTTCAGAGCATGATTGGGATGAGAACTGTAAAGAGTTAAAAACATTTGTTCTCATTTAGCCACTCACTAATTCAAATGCCTGCATTCCATAGAAAACTACACTGGCCCCAGGTCAAGATATGAAGATTGACATAACAGGGCTTCAAATAGGATGAGGAATACAATTTAAGGTATATCTAAGAAATGAAGGAAAGGATGGGAATGTAGATGGTACCTGAAATCTGACGGAGAAACCAGGTAAGACAGTATGAAATTAGACACTGATAACTGGGTGGGGAGAGAACATAATATTTTACTTAAAATAAGACACACTCCAGTCAAAATAGCAATTATCAAGAATGCAAATAATAATAAATGTTGGAGAGGATATGGGGAAAAATTTACACTCATACATTGTTGGCGGGACTACAAATTAGTACAACCACTCTGAAAAGCAGCACAATAGCCAAACTATGGATGCAACCTAGGTTTCCTTCAACAGATGAATGGATACAGAAAAATGTGGCATATATACACAAGGGAGTATTACTCAGTCGTAATGAAGAAGAATGAAATTTTGGCATTTGCCAGCAAATGGATAGAACTAGAGGATATAATGAGAAGTGAAATAAGCCAGTTCTGAAAGTCAATGTTCAATTGTTGTCTCTGCTATGCAGAAGCTAATCCAAAATAAGGTGAGAGAGAAAGAGAAAAGAAAAAAAGAGAGAGAAATCTTTCATCAAAATAGAAGAAATATCAGTAGAGTAGACAAACAGGATTGAGGAGTAGGAGGAAAAATGAAATACAGAAAAAGGGAAGAAGAATAGAATGAATTTGACTGAACTTTCATGTGTACATACATGAGTACATCACAGCGAATCCCATGAACAAGTATAACCACGAAACACAAATTTTTAAAAATACTATAAATAAATTCCAGAAAGATCATTAGAACTAGAGGGAGAGAAGAATGGAAGGGAGGAGCTGGAGGTGCTACGGAATGAATTAGAGCAAATTATATTCCATGCTTTTGTGATTATATCAAAATGTACCCTAATGTTATCTATAACTAAAATGAATCATTTAAAAACATATTTAAAAATTACCCTTTCAAATATAAATCATCCTAGAATTTAACAAAATTTATTACAAATAAGAAAAAATCTACAGAAAATTTTTACATCAGAGAAGTGGCTTTAAGTATAAATGATAATGATTTCTATCAGGAAGAAAAGAAGCAGTGTATGACACATGCCACTCACTCTACATAAGACCAAAGTTCTGGAATCAACTTCTGTAGCTCCACAAGAGACTCACTGATGGCATAACCAGGTTCAGCCATATCAAGGAGAATAAAGAGATCTAACACATCTGAGATAAACAATTTAGGAAACTGAAGAGCATTTACAACTATTGGAATAACATTTCTTCTTTATTTGACAACTATATCACTCAAAGTTCTTGAAGTTATGGCTTGATAAGTCCCTTTCAATTGATATGGCCAGAAAAAACTTACAAGTTATTCCAAAAGGCAAAAGTTAAGCTTCTAGTCAGTGTAACAGAAAACAGGCATCAATATATGAATATCCCATAGTCAGTATTGAGCAAAGCAACATACAAACTTACTCTTACATGAAATATTTAAAGTTCCTATGCATTATGAAAATTAATTCCCATTGTCAATTTCTGTTTCCAAGGACACGTCTCACTCATTTGACTTCTTACAATCTTCTCAGCAGTTTCTGGATTCCCTGCTTGATTTCTTTGGTCCTTACACCATAAACAATGGGGTTCAGCGCTGGGGGAATGAGGTGGTGCAGGATGTTGAGAAGAATGGGGACATCAGGAGAAATTCTCTCCCTGGCCAGGTTAGTGATGACCAGAACCAACAGCACTGTGCTGAAGAAGAGAATGAGGATGAAGTGAGACCCACATGTGCTCAGGGCCTTGGCCACAGCACCCTCAGCCTTGATCCTTAGCACAACTTTCAAGATAAAGGAATAGGAGAGAACAATAAGGATGAGGTCAGAACCCAGCAGTGTCCAGCCTATCACAAACTGGTAGAGCTGGTTTAAGGTGATGTCATCACATGACAGTTTGGACACAGACATGTTAGTGCAGATACAGTTCTTGATAATTCTTACACAGTATCTCAATCGGGAAGAAAGTATGGGGATCGGCATAGTAAGAAGAACATTCCGAGCCATGATAAAGGTAGCAGCCCTGACCACAAACTGGCCAGTGATGATGGAGGGGTACCGCAGTGGATGGCAGATGGCCACATAGCGGTCATAGGCCATCACCATGAAAGTGCAGGACTCCATGGGAAGAAAACTGTTCATGATGAACATCTGGAGGAAGCAGGCAGAGAAGCTGATGGGTCTGAGGTCAAACCAGAAGATGGCCAGGACCTTGGGGATGACAGTGAGGCAGAGCACAATGTCCAGCAGGGAGAGGAGGCTGAGCAGGTAGTACATGGGCTCATGCAGGGAGGCCTCCAGCCAGATGGTGATGAGGAGAGTGGTGTTGGCCCCCATGGCCAGGAGGAAGAGGAGGCTGAGGGGCATGGACAGCCAGTGCTGCCAATTCTGGTAGTTAGGGAAGCAGATGAGGAGGAATTCAGAGATCAGTACAGAGGAGTAGTTGCTTTGTATTGCCATATGCTGTGCTCTCATCAGGACTGACACTTCAGAAAACCTTGATGGACAAAACAGGAATAAATCCATCTACACAACATGAATATCCACAGAGAGAAGTAACTCATTTTCCAAAGAATCATTTAAAAATAGTAACAGCTAAGTATCTAGCATTCTAACCTAGATACTTAACTGTTAAACACCCTGTAATTAGAATGGACAGAAAAAAATTATATTTCTTTGTTTGCCTGAGATACTCCCTTTTGATGCTACTTTTAAGTTTTGTGCCCAATTTGGTTGATAAATTATGTAATCAACCTCCTTATAAGAAAATATCACTGTTATCCCAGTTTTACAGATGAAGAAATAAAGGCAAAAGTAAGCAAAGTCACTCATGGTGAAACCATGACTTGAAACCATGAAATCTGGATCTTACAGCCACTACCTTTTTCTGCTACTATAAAAACATATATGAAACTACTTATGCATGCCCAGCTAGTAAAGTAGATCAGCCATAGATTCCAAACCAATGTTGGTCTCTGTCCTTCATCCAAAAGACGATATCACAGACAAAGGAGGAATCAGACCTAACTACATTACCAGATAATACTTGAAGACTTCATTAGAGTTGTGACTATCATATATATGGAAAATAAATCTCATAGACATCTAAAACAAATAACACTTTGTTATAAGAAAATGTAAAAATTATATATATATATATATATATATCTCCTAGTGTCTTAGGCAAGGTGTTGAGATGAGAACCATAAATTTCAGGAGCCAGCAATTTTTGGTCCAACAGTACTATTTCTAGAGTAAGGGACAACTAGATGTTGTGGCACATGTGTGTAATCCTAGTGCCTCGGAAGGCTGAAGATCCCAAGTTTAAAGCAAACCTCAGCAACTTAGCCAGGTCCTAAGCAACTTAGCAAGGTCCTTTCTCAAAATAAAAAGTAATTTTTAAAAAGGGGGTTGGGGATGTGTCTCAATGTTGAAACACCTGGGCTTGATCCCTGCTTTAAAAAATTTAAAAAAATTAAGAAAAAGAAAGGTGAGGGACAACAGCAACTGACTCCATGTGAATTCACCATCAGTCACAAACCCACACTCTATGGATTCCTGACCAAATATATCATAAGAAGTTGTGGAAAAAAATCATGGGTTAACCTTTTACATGATTTTCATGCTAAAGCCTATCTCAGAACATTGGTTGATATGCCCAGTGACACTGTTTCTTTAATGCTGTTAGAAAGCTCACACTCAGGTACTTTTAAATCAATGATAACAGTAGTCCTGATGAGTGTTGGAGTCTTTCCATCAATTTCCCTCTCTTTTCCTCTGAGAAAATGGAAGCCAGCTTCTCAAAGGTGAGAGATGGGAATATTTGAAGGCATAGATGAAGGTTGAAATAAACAAATTTTCCACTGTTTGCTAATAATGAGTATTCCCCCGCCATATAATCTGTAGCACCAGCAAAATCTCTATATCAAAAAGACATTGTAGAGTATATAATTTTAAATTTCTTGTAGCCACCTTAAAAATGTAAAAGGAAATAAGTGAAATTAATTTTAATGTTATCTGACTCATTATGCTAACATTATCTTTCATATGTAATCAGTATTTTAAAATGCTAAAGATGTATTTTACAGTTTTCTTGAAAGAGTTATTTTAAGTTTTTCTTGTTGTACTAATTCTTTAAAATCATGTGTGTATTTTACACTTACAATACATTGCAACTTGAACTAGCCGCATTTCAAGTAGCTATTGACGACTGCATCGGACATTGGAGCTCTAAAGACATGGGAAACTTAAAAGGTTCTCTTTTTATTTTCTTGATGTATGAGTTTAATCTTAGTGTTGGCCACTTGGCATCTATGACTCTTGGGATTTATATGGAACCTTATTTC